GCCGCCAGGCGAGTGGTGGGAGCCGCCCCAGTCCCCACAAACGAGCCGCGGCTCTGTCCCGCAGCCCCTCAGCCCCAGCTGGGCACCAATTCACCCAGCCCCTGTCCCAGCCCCACTCCCTCACTCACTGCAGGGTGGGGGGAGATTAACCCCCCACCCCCCATGCCCCTTCCCTCTTCCCTCCCCTTCTACCACAGCAGACTTACCAGCTGGGCAATGCTCTAAGCTGCCAGGCTGTGCCCCTCACCGCCTATGTGTTGCATTGTGGCTACGCATGCACAGGCCATTTATTAGCCAAATTATCAGCCATATCAGGCCAATCTTTAATACAGACAATTTTCTTTATATCGGTGGTGATGCAATATTGGATCGATGTATCAGTGCACCTCTAAAAATTAGCTAGTCAGATTTTTTTCAGTTAAATTTTTTTTTTTTTAGCATTTTACTGAGTTTAACCCTTTGGGTCCTTTTCTTAGTTATTTGATTCTCCTGTGGGATTTGGAAGGCCAACAGCAGTTCAAGAGCTTTATCTGTAGTCATAACTTTTTCTCTGAATACAAGTCATTTTTTCTAAAATTGCAGCCAAGAATGTGGGTTGACTTACAAGTGGAGTCATCTTATGATCAGAACAATATAGTATTGGGATATATTTTGTGTGCACAATAAGAGCTAATTAAAGGACAGTTAAATCCAAGATAGGATCTGTATTTAGTTCCAAATGCAAGGCAGCCTATGGTTACAATTCTGACACAGTGAATTCTAGGAAGGTTCTCTCTCTCCATGTTCATGCTCTGCTAATCAACAGTTTCAAGTTTTTAGCTGTCTTGGGAGGTTCTGGTTGCAAAAAGAGGGGTGATCCCTCAGACTGACACAACCAATCCAGATGAAAGACTCTGAATAACAGGAATTACGAATATGAGTCTGCATCAACTGGGTGCAGACAGCAAAGCATTGTAGACTAGCTAATACATTTTTGGCCAGTTATAGCTTTCTTTATATCATGAGGCTTCATTTTTAGATAAAATGTAGTTGTAGAAACTGAGGGTGAATAGTACAAACATGTTGATCAAGATGGCCAGCAGAGGAGGGTGCTCAGCTTGAAGGCAGGATACTTATTTAACTGATGAATTGTGGTCATAGCCTCTTCCAGCTACAAGCTAGAAAAGCATAAGGTATTACTATAAATTTCCTATGTGGATTGGTGACTTTATTTTTTCCCAACCATTCCCAGAATGGTTGGGAAGAAACTGGTTCTAAACAAGCTAAACTATTAACGTGGTATTGAATATATTATTACTTTTTATTAAAATAAATGCAAGAACATATATGCAGAAATGCTGTGTCCCCCAAATTCCAATATTATATTAGATGTGTAATGTTTGTGGTATGTAAACATCCTTATTACCCTACCGATAATGGCAGAAGAAAATGAAATGGTGGCATACTCTTGTTAGACAAGGATCTGCCTTCTGCGTAAAGCACATGCTAACTATGTTCATTCTTATCCTTCAACTACAGAAAGATGGGCTGCCAATAATGTAGCTCTCTCTAAAGATGCATTTTCAATGAGATTATGGGTTTCAGAGAAGTTATAGGTTGGAGTTGAACAGGAACAGTAATATTAAAATTGAAAAAAAAGCTCAATTATATATTAAAAAAACAAAGCAACTGGCACTTACTCAGAGCTGTTTGAATATTCTTTTCACCATTCTTTACTTCTGTCAAAAACCCCTTCAAAAACTTTAAGCCTCTGTCAGGAAGGAACCAAAAATGCATTTCATTTTTATTTCAAAAAGTAATTTTTGAGGCTGCATAACATAAGAACATAGTTCTAAGACATTTTAGCAACAAGTATGAATACAGTTGCCATGTTAGCGGCTTACTGAACTCCACAGAGACAACACAAGATGAAGTCTCTTTTTTGGCCTACTCATAAGACAAAACTCAGTGTAAGTAGCAATGTATATAGTGAGATGGCTTTGTTAAAATCCTCTGTCTCCCTCTTAGTCCCTCATAAGGGCTGTCCTAAACAAGCTGTACTGCAAGACAGCATACGCAACTGGTAGGGGGTGCCACCCCTGACGGCCGACACTGATGCTGTCAGTAGGGCTGGTGCTCTCCCTGACAAGGCCGCCACCATTGTGCGGGTGCCCCCCACAGATTGAGGAGGCACCAGTCACTCATGCAAGACAGATTGTGTGTTGTAGCTTAGTCCCATCATTGACTCGAGAGGGCCAACACGAATAGTCAAGCATGATTATTTTGTCACTTGGCTAGCAGAAAGAGTGCGCTTAAATTATTTGCATGGCATGGAAATCTAAACCCAAGTTTGGACTAACGTGGGTGGCAAAGAAGCTTGCAAGAACTGCTTCCTACATTCAGGCAGCACTGGTGAAGTGATCTTGGTTACTTCTTAAAATTAAATTAAAGGTTAGGCATTTACCTTTTCAGCCACAAGAGGGCTTCTGTAGCAGAGTTTCTTATTTGTGCTACCTCAGCACTCACTTCGTGGAATATTATCTTCTGCAGAGTGTTGAACTCTTCTTTGTTGGTTATATATTTCTGATTTATTTTCTGAAGAAAAATGCAACAGAATTTATACCATTTTTTTTTTTTACATTTTATAAAGACAAAAAATTCCGTCTCAAATAAATAGACCATTTGCCAGGCCTCTCATAAATAGCAAAAATTATGGTTCCCATAACAATTACTTGTAATATACATGGGGATACAGATGCCACATTTGAAGCAAAGAAATGGGTGGGCCTTAACAGCCACCTAGCACTTAAATAAGGAGTGGCAGCAACAGGCCGTAAAGCAGTCCTATCTATTTTCCCTATTTCCCCCCTCATCAGCAAATCTAACCACACATATTCAGCAAAGCTAACTGTACTTCATTATGCATCAGCAGGTGCATGACAAACAGGTCTAAGGAGGTGATACTTCCCCTCTATGTGGCATTGGTCAGACCACAGTTGGAGTACTGCATCCAGTTTTGGATGCTGTACTTCAAGAAGGATGTTGATAGACTCGAGAGGGTCCAGGAGGGTCGTATGGTTAGGGGCTTACAGGACAAGCCCTATGAGGAGAGACTGAGGGACCTGGGCCTCTTCAGCCTCCACAAGAGAGGCTGAGAGGTGATCTTGTGGCCACCTACAAATTCATTAGGGGGACGCAGCAAGAGATCGGAGATGCTCTGTTCACCAGAGCACCTCTTAGGGTAACAAGGAACAATGGTCACAAACTGACAAAGAGCAGATTTAGACTGGATATCAGGAAAAAACTCTTCACGGTAAGGGTGGCCAAAATTTGGAATGGGCTTCCAAGGGAGGTGGTGCTCTCCCCTACCTTGGGGGTCTTTAAGAGAAGGCTGGATAGGCATCTGGCTGGGGTCATCTGACCCCAGCACTCTTTCCTGCCTATGCAGGGGGTTGGAATTGATGATCTGTTGAGGTCCCTTCCAACCCTAGCATCTGTGAATCTATGATTAACTTGATTTTCAGGCAGGGCCCCCTGCTCAGAATCCTCCACCCAAAAGAAAAGCAACATAATACTGACAGCGGCTGGTGCAGCAGATTCTCTACTACAGAGGTACTCAACCTTTTGGCTCTGTGGGCCCAATGAATGGCATGGCACTTGTTCAAGGGTAGACCTGCAGGATCACTGCCCGCATCCCATACCATGCCACTTGGATCCCACTTCATCTGATCCATCGTGCAAGGCCGTGCCATCCATTCAGAGGGCTTCCCACAGGTCTAGAAATTTGGCAGCAGGGGAACAGCAATAAACACTGCCAAATGTTTGCACCTGTGGGGAGTCTTGTGGGTTGGATGACAAGACTCCATGGGCCACAGGTTGAGCACCCTTGCTGTATTAGAAGTCATCACAACACTTAAATTGACGTTATTTTCATAAAGATGCTCATTTCAGACAACACCCTTTTCAAAAACAGAGGTCGAAACAGTCTGAATAAGCTCTCATTTTGAATCAGAAATAGGAGTTACTTTCACTCAGTTCTATCTTTCCCAGTCCTTGGTTTTTATAACTTGTAAGATTTATGCACTAGCTCAGTGCTAGCAGATACAATATCATGTAGTAGGGAAACTGAAGGTGAGATGAAAAAAAATAAAGGCTATTTAAATTATTACATCTCCTATTGAAATAAACCTAGGTAGGAGCTACACACCAAAGAATACCCTTTTGGAAGACGTCAACACAGAATCACTGGGTAAATAAAAAAACTACTTACTTGGTATCATACTAGTCAACAACTACATTCTGTTCCCCATTAAAAGTTTATCTTTTTAAGCACTTAAAAACCTCTCAAAGCTCTGAATCAAAGAAAAATTCAGAGCCAGATTCCCAGCTGGTGTAAGTCACTATTGGTGTACCATCTGAGGAATCTGGTCCTTAATGGTTTAGCTGGCTTCTGCTTAAAGAAGGATGTTTATTTTTAGCCTATACGATGAACAAAGGTTAAGTAGCTACTGCTTGACTGTATACCTTAAAATCCTTTCAGTTCAGAATCAGAGCACATGGACACACAACATTAACTATAAATTGGATTTTATTCCTTAGTAAAACTGGAGCAGACAACACACATCCTTATATCAGCATAGGTCACTACATTCCAGATTTTAAAAAGTTACCCCTACATAAGCAAGGAGCAACTATACACGTAGCCATTTGCTCAAAGGACACCAGTTCTCTTGCCCAGGCACTGTCACAGTATCTACTGGGACAGTGGATCATGTGTCCGCTCCTAACAACCAAGCAAAATGGAGGGCGACTTACTCCACAATAATTGTGAGATGCGTCCAAATCCAAGGTCATATGCACAGACTGTTAAACTACACTATCTAAAATGCTGTATATCTGAGAATCTCTTCGAATTTAAAAAGTCTGGATAGATGAAAAAAAAATGACAGTGTGGAAAAAAGATAGTGCGTGCTTTTAGAACAGAATTTACATTCGTTTCAGCATTCTGACCTGGCAGACAGCAGTGTTAGGTTGATATTACAAAACCTCCTAATACAAACTTTCCCAACAAATTCCTACATAATCAATGTGCCTTATCTATTTCTATATCCTTCAAGCATACCACATTCTTGCTTCCCTTGTACACAAATTGCTTCCGTTTGGTTGAATGCCTGCACCCAAAGACACTGGTAGTTATATTTACCCATTTGGGCTGTTTAATCTTAAGGAGAACAACAAAGTTCTGTTCCATTTTGTTTACAAATCAGTGCTAGAAATCACTATTACCTTGATATTACCGACAAAATCCATTTTAACAGGAGCAAAGACTGTTGGTCCAAGTTTGTCTAGAAGAAAAAGGAAACAAACCAGTTTTTCCATTTTCCAGTGCCGCATCTCTGCAACATCCATTTCTTTGTTCTCCAACAGTTTTTCTGAATGGAACCCCCTTTTCCCCCCACTGTGGCGGCGAGGCACCACCACAGGCTCCCAAAGGGGAGAAGGTAACCCCCGCGGGCCCCATACCTCAGAAACAGACCCCCGGCAGGGATAACTTACCTCCCGCAGGGCAGCTGGAGCAGGAGCGGGGACCGTGGCCACAGCCACACAAACCAGCATTACGCCGGCTGTTTAATCAGCTGTTTCCGGTATGGGAAACAGCCGAACCAATCCTGGCGGCCATATTGGCCACTGCGGGAAAGTTTAAAAGCCTTGCCAGAACTAGGGCGGGGGGAGAGCTGGAGAGAGAGAGCGCTGGCAGGCAGCACGCTAGGCGTGCTGCTGCTCTGGCGCAGAAAGGGAGCAACACAGCTGCGTGGCTCCTGCAGGCAGCGCAAGGGAAACCTTTGAGACCCCTGAAGGAGGCAGAGCAGGGGAAGCCCTCCAGCTCCCCGTGGTAGAGGAGCCAGAGGAAGCCTTGGAGTTCTCTGCAGGCAGCAGGGCAAAGGAGGCATCTGAGCCCCCTAGAGGAGGCAGCGGTAAAGGAGGCAGCTCCGCAGCCCTCTCCTCCTCAGGGGAATATTTCTTCTGAGAAAAAAAAAACCCTGAGAAGGGGGAAAAGCAAAAGAGACCAGGGAAGGCAGGCCCCGGGCCATCCTACAGGGCCGAAAATCACCGTTTACGGATATCCACCCAGTTGGCGAGTGGACGGGGGGTAGGGAAGGTAGAGCCCCGTGGAACATCGCGTCAAGCAATTGTGAGTACTGCCATCTATCGGGAGGGACTGCCGGGAAGATCGCCACTGAAACCCCCCTCTCTTGATAGTTTAACATCAAAGTCATGGCAGGAGAGTCGAGGGGAGGGGAGGGGCTACACACCCGACGGGCCAGGCAGCACGCAAGGCACAAGTGATCACACCCACAAACAAAATTAAAAAACCAAACCCATAAGAAGGGGTAAATCTTTTTCTTTTAGAACAGGACTAAAACTCCAGAGCCAAAATGTAGCCCACATACTACAGCTCTGCTGTTTGGGGTAGACAGTACAGAGGGACCTCACATTGCTGATGAAGTGCAGAGGCTATGTCTGTTGTGGCACTTTTGCGTGCCATGCAGAAGATGTCCATGGAAGGGCCAAAGTTAGAGTTGGGCAGCTAAGAGGATCTAATAGTTAAGGCATGCAAAAAAAAAAAAAAGAAAAGGACAGTAGTGGTTTTGTTGAATTTCCATGACATTCCACACACTCCTGTTGTGCTGAAGAAGACGACTGTTAGTTCCTCTCCTATAAATCCTGATACTTATTCAGTGAGCAAAGTACATTTGTGATCGGTCCAGGATGAGAAGAGAGCAGCAATTATATAGAACAGACTTCTACATACACACGAGTCAATTAAGGTGTCTTTTTCAACAATATTTATATGATATTAACTGAGTAAAGAAGTGAATTCTCTTAATGTGTGTCTTCATATGTTCTCTGGGGTTTGTGAGGGGTGGGGGGGGAGAGCAGGGAGGCTTTAAGTAGAGTGGCTCTCAGAAGCTGCTATAGTCAAACCACCCATAACAGCTCGTGTATTCAGCATCCTGAGCTTCAAAATGGCAGCAGAGGTGCTTTAACTAAAGCCCATTTGATAAGCTTTAGCTAAAGTGCCCCCACCACCATTTTGAAGTGTGGGGATGCTGAATACACATGGCGTCAAGGCTGTCGGAGCTAATCAAGTCAGCTTCAACGTGCTCTAATTAGAACGTGTCAAAACAGGCATTGGGGGCAAGTGTACAGGTGCCTAATGAGCCTACGCATGACTTCAACCATTATTAGGCCACCAGGCAAAGAGCATTCATGGCTTAAATGGATGCACTTGCCACAACAAAAGCAAGTAACTGCTTACCCAAGACTGGCACTATTGCATAACATGATTGCAGAAATTCCTCTGTGGGTATGCCATCATCCTCTTGAAGTTCAATATCACTAAACCTAGAGATAACATTACAAACAAAGATATCACTACTTTAAATATTGCCATTCATGCAATTTGAGAGAAATTACATTGCATATCTGCTTCATGCGAATGAAGCAAATTATACACTTATTGAGTCACTGGCATAAACAAGTTCCATTTACTTCACTGCCAGCTTAAGCTATTGGTGAATACCGCCCAGTAGACTGCAAATATAAATAAAGGTCTTTGATCAGAATGGTAGTTTAATTACAGTTGTCTTCCAGGTTGCAACCTATCTGTGATAAACTGGTCTCTCTATTGGGATAAAAATTTCCCCTTATCATAATTAATGGCTAATTTCTTAGAGTTCAATTATTGCTGCCAGATATTCTTGCAAAGAAAAAACAGTTCTATTTTAAATAGGAATGGAGAGAGAAAAAAAATCCACATGAAGTTGCATTTAAATGACAGGGCTCAACTACTAGACTGCCCTACTCCAACCATCACTAGTACAAAAGTATATTATGACCTGCATTATTATGGGACTGCATTACCTATTACTCATGACACTAAAGAAGGTAGGAAAATCCTCTTCTTTCTCCTCTTCCCAACCAGTTTCTTGCTGTAATGACTCATTAACACTGTTATTCTCTGTGGGCAGCAACTTGTCTTCACCATCTTCTTTAACATCACCTTATATTTAAAAGGAATGGAAAAAATAGTTACTTTTGCTTCAACTGTTGTTCTTTCAGATGCATTGCTTGTGTCTTGTCCATTCTAGGGGTCTACAAGGCCAGCTCATTCTACTTGAAAAAGCTATCACTAGCAGTACCTGTTGGCACATGTACCCTGCGTTTCTTCAAGTCTCCAACAGAAACACTATAAGGCAGTGCCACTTTGGCCCTCTCTTAACCCTATGCCTTGGGGCTCATGGTAGTACTGGACTCCAAAGATGGGAAGAAGGGTGGATTATGGACTAAACTTGTCCAACATCTCAGAGAACGACAGGTAAAACAACCACTTAATTCTCTGGGCAATTGTATGTGTCTGAAAACAGCAGCAATCAGTGGTGGGTGAAAATGGCAGCAGCAGGGATCAGTGGTGGAGAAGCAATGCTGGGGGAATCGTGGGTGAAGTAGGGGGGCACCAAGTTTGAGAAATGCTGCCATACTCTACTGTGTAATCTAGTCGTTGGTCTGTTGTAATGATTTCCAAGCACCAAGGAAGTGGAATAGTGTCTCCAAGAGGGGAAGGACAAGGAAGTTAGAGGCTGATTGGTTTGCTGTTCTCAATAAAGCAGTCTAATAGACTGCTTATGTGAATACAGATGCTGCTGCCGCCATGTAGTAGAAGAGGTGGCCTTCTAACTATGTGGGGCAGAAAGACAGTATAAGTTACAGGTTGTTTCCACGGCTCCTGCTGTTCTACTGGTGTGTATCATCACCCTTCAGACAGTATACGGGAGGACTGGACTGAAACACTTACTCATCTCAGAACTGATGGAGTCATAAGGTGACTTGAGAGGCATGAGAGCTCAAAAGAATGCATTTCCTTGATAGGCACTATTAGTGAAAACTCTCCAACTTGAATGTGCTAGATGTGTGTGCATATAGAGTGAAAAATGTGTGGACACCTCACTCTAAGGACATCTCAGCTGCTAAGTTATATCAGTCATCTGATTTGAATACTATTTGCCATTCATTTCATCTAACCCTATACAATGTCGTATTGAAAAAAATTTCAGGTGTGTCGCAACTTACACAGGGGTTAGGTTCCGAGGTCACCGTGTAAGGCGAAAATCGCACATAGTCAAATCGCCAGCGATTTGACTAGTGGCAACTGCCTCTGCCTCCAAAACCTCCTGCCGCTGCTGCGGGGCCGCTGCCAAACCCCCCCGCCGCCACCGCAAACTGAAGCCTCGCCGCCCCCCCGCGTAAAGTTGAATTCGCGCAAGTTAAATGCACATATGACGCGACTGTACTGTAGTCAGAATGCATAGCTCTACTGACCTCTACACCCAGGGTTTTACGCAAGTGCTAGCCAATGCCAGTCACAAACTGGACTAGTTAGCGACACAAGCTGGAAGAACACCAAAGGAATACAACAAAAGAGATGTCTGTTTGTGAAATACCACCACATTCTGTACTTAAGTCTTTTTCCCTTGTCGCTTGAAAAACTGAAGACATGCTGACAGCATT